TTTTTTTTTTTTTTTATACAAATTATGTTTTATTTATTTAATTGTCTGGATTACAGATTGTACTTTTTTGATTAATTCAAGGAGGGAGAGAAGCCCGACAGGATAATTAGTTCGGAATTGGGCGTCGGCGGCAAGTTGCAGACTGGTGCAAGCAATGGTATAACGAGGGTCTACGTTAATGGCCGTGAGATCACCAATACTGAGCTCAAGGTTTTGAAGGTAAACTGAAGAAATACATAGGGAAAAAGGCAGGTTGTTTTAGTCTTCTGTTTTCTTTTTTCTTGAAGTTCTTTAGAAATATTTGCTCAAGATTGACAACAATATAGTAGAGCTTTGCTTGTTGTTTCTACTACTCTTGTTATAATTAATCTTAATTAGTTAATTGAGTTAATAAATATATGCCCACTGTGACTATTAGTTGTCAGTCATGTTCTACAAATCTTACCTGTACACTATACATACTATAACTTAGCTTGTTGTGTTGAGATCATTAATGCTAGTTGACTCTTAAGCATATGGCCACCATGATTATTAGTTGTCGGTCAAACATACCATGAAATACATTTTTAAAATCCTTCAGTCCGATATTCCTGCAGTTTATATCCGATTATTCCATTTTGACTCAGCCCCGACGAATGATGCCAATGTACGGGTAAAAAAACTGTAGTTTCATACTTCCATTCTGTTCTGTAAAACCAGTTGTATTCATTTGTTGGGTATTTGCATTTGTATGACTTGTAGTTACCATCACTGTGATTTGCTTCTATCATTGTTACGAATCACTGACAATTTCCGTTTTCAAAAAATAAAATAAAACTGTAGTTTGCCAAGGTTCAATGCACTCGTGACACCCACTTTTGGCTATACGAGGATGGATCCTACGAAGAAGAAGGCCAAAATAAAATCAGAGGAAATATATGGGAAAAGGTTCTTTCGTAGTGTATAGAAGACGTTATTTGTTTATATATTATGTTCTGTCTGGTGCCAAAAGTTCTGTTACTGAAGAGTTGAAATTGGGTTTTCTCTTATTCAGGCCTCTGTCCGTTTCATCTCTTCATTGTTTTCATTGCCTGTCCCACTTCAAAATGCTCGTGCTATGAACGAAGAACTGGCATTATATTCAGCTAAATTACATTCTCAGTATCTGGAGCAGCATAGGGCCCACAAACTGCTGCTTCTAGGGTTACAGAGCTCTGAGGCAAGTACCATCTTCAAGCAGGTATGTCCGTCGATTTCTTTTTATCTTCTGTTAAACGTGTAAAAGTGTATGTGCATTATACGTAATTTGTGTAAATCTTATTGAAATATTAACGTTTGACTCAATTTTAATCGGATGTCATTATTTATATATCGTTTTCAATATTTTCTAGCAAGCATTGCGTTCATGATTTCTAATTAACTTAGTTCTGCTCTTATTTTCAATTCCTGGAATCACAAATGGCCGCCTAAAAATTGTACATGTTTCCTTTTTTGTTTTCACTTTTAAATGTATTGTTATATCAACTTTTTTCATTAATCTGTTTGTTTCATTGCAACAGGCCAAGTTTATATACTCAAACAAATACACCACTGATGAATTACAGAGCTTTAAGCTCATAATTCAAAGGAATGTGTACAGATATCTCAGTTTTTTACTCGAGGGGAGGGAGCATTTTGAAGAAGATGTCCTGACAGGAAAAGAGCCTACTGACAGGTCTGTGCCAGGTACTTACTTGGAGATTAGCGCTGCATTAATTTTGCATAACATGATGGATAAGTTTTTAACCGTACTCACATTGTTAGTGCTGAACTTTGTTTCTCACAGGAGAAACAGAATTAGGCGGAAGCAGAGAATGCATATATTCAGTTAATCAGAAAATCATCGATTTCTCTGATCGGTTAGTAGATATCATTTCTACTGGAGATATAGACACATTCCTTCCTGCCACTGCACCTGAACTTTATGAAATCTGGGAAAATCCAGCCATACAGGAAACCTACAAGAGACTACAGGAGTTAGAACTACTCACAGATATTGCTAAATATTTCTTAGACAAGGTATAATTTACTTTGAAACTTATTTTTTTTAAATTTGAATAAATGGTATATATGTTTGTCAACATAATGCATTTCATGTTATCTGATACAAGATTTCCCAGCTGTCGTCTTTTCTTTCTGTTGTTTTAGTTCAACAAAATTTTGTTAAAGTGGAACTCACTTATCCAGCTCATTGTGATGAAAGATTTGCTTACAAACAGGTCCTTGAAATATTAAGTGATGATTATGTACCTTCAGAGAAGGATATTTTGTTAGCCGAAGGTATTACACCCAGCAATGGCCTTGCATGCCTAGAGTTCTCCTTTGATGACTACAGTGTAATTTCTGAGATACACAATCAAAAGCTTGAAGACGAACAATCTCCGTCCAAGTAGGTCCTCTCTAATCATAAACCTTCGGGCTAGTTATGAAAAAAAATGCTTCAAGTTTCATTTCATTATAAAATACGTAATCGCCTTTTGAGAATTGCAAATACATTACTATTTATGTTACTCGGGCTATTTGTTAAGTATATGTAAAACCGGACCCGGTTTTTGTTTATTTATCTTATTTAATTCTCAGGTATCAATTGGTCTACCTCAGCTCAAAAGTCCTATATGATAGCTGCAAGTTGTTAGAGATGCTCGAAGGCATGAACATTGCAATCTTCTGTGTTTCATTGATCGAGTATGACCAGATTTGGACTCACAGTTTTGCGGTCCATCAACAGAATAAGATGATCTCGAGCAGAGATTTCTTTGAAAACGTCGTCAGACATTCAAGTTTCGAGGACACACCATTTTTGCTGCTCTTGACTAAATATGATCAATTTCAGGATAAAATCAACCAAGTCCCAATTACTGTCTGTGAGTGGTTTAGAGACTTCAGCCCCTTGAAGATGAATAGCAAGAATCTGTCGATGGCACATCGTGCATTTTACTATATTGCCATAAAATTCAAGAAGTTGTACACCTCTATTACAGGCAAAAAGCTTTATGTTCGCCAAGTCCATGGTCTCGAGCAAACTTCAGTTGATGAAGCATTTAGATACGCACGAGAGATCATTGACTGGGAAGAGGTGAAAAATGACGATATGTATGCTGTAAGCGAAGATGATTCGCCATCAGGACCCGAAACAATCTACCATTCCTTGTGATCATTGATGATAAGTTGCATACCATTCTTTGTTTTCGTTATGTTGAGGTTTACACATGGTCAAACGCATGAAATCTCTTATACTGTTAATTATTGGAAGAAATCTCTTAAAATGTTTATTAAAGGTGGTCAACTTAATCCATACAGGATCTCTGAGGATGATTGGATATAAAATTTTTTGGTTTTGTTTGGATTTTTTTGTTTGGTTTGGTTAGTTTTGAAAAAGTTGGTATGGTTAGTTGTTAGTGGATATGTTAAAATAATATTTAAAATTAAATGATTAAAGTTGATTTGATGTAAAGTAAGAAAGAGGAGATTTGAAGTAATGATTAGTTAAAATTATGTGAGTAGATGAATAGTGAATTAAAGTGATGTGGTGTGCAATAATGGTTGATTTGATATTATTTAATTATATTGATAATATTGATGATAGTGAGGTTGAGTTAAAGTTGAGTTAAAAAAGTGGTTGAGTTAAAAATGTTTGGATTTTTTTGAGATAATTTTATATCCAAGCATGCTCTAAAGTGTTACTTAGCGCAATTTAGAAAAATAAAAAATAAAAAATAAAAATCAACTTTGAATGGATCCAAACAGAATTACCGATTTTGCTTGGACATAAAACATCATTTTTCTGTTTTACTATGCAGCGACAATTCACCGATAAACTACAGTCAAAGATAACCCTAATGAAACATTTATCCGCAGGAAAACTTAATTTAAAATTTGAAACCGATCCTGAAACGAAAAAAATTCCCAGTGTCATCGAATTTGAACTTCACCATGACATAGTTACGCATACAAGAACAGCACCACAGGCTTTCCGTCACAATCAATTTCTCATCATATATAGATATCCATTCTTGAAAGTTGAAATGAACAGCCAATCTCAGCTGCAATTCTCACACAGATATAGAACGAGTATACAAACCAGCAGCGCTTTTCGCCATTTATGAATGCACACCATACACCAACATGACATATTCTTTCAGAACATAACAGGTGAACATTGAAAACATACAAACTATGCGATCACATGAGAATATAACGGAATACAACATTTTTATTTCTGGAAAATAACATAATCCAACCCATAGTGCTCAGTCAAGAAGCTTCGTAAATTACAAAGTTATTCATGCATGACAAAACTACAATTAAAGACATGTTTTTATTCTTTCACCCATCTGAAGTAAAAAGCCTCGTATCTACTATATTGAGGAAGGATAAAATTACAGAAAGCACCTACTCGTCCTTGTACCTCTTCTCGATCTCCTCTATGCTCTGGATTTCCCTATGATACTTGCATATGCGATATATGCACCTTAACACACATTTGAGAGGAGGCCGTCAAGGATAAGGTCAGAAACTAGCTCTACGACTATAGTTGGACATGAACTCACTTACCAGTAGAGGAGACATGCAGCCGTGCACAATACTGCATTCCTCTGAGACTTGTAAATCTGTTGATTGTGCATTAAAACAGTACATTCTTCACTAATGGCCAAAGGAAGTTTGAAAAATAAAATAAATGATCACACGGGAATATCTCGCAAGAAAATTCAATGACAATAGAGCCCAATTTCTCTCTAAGTCAGTGCAAAAATTCAGATAACCATAGTTAACCTGTGAAATGAGACTGGGTGAGCTATAAGCCAAAATTTCATATGGCTTTACTGAAGAAGTTGTGCATCTACAAACAGATGATTTTCGTATGGAACTTTCTTAAAGGATATCCCAGTATTATTTTAGCACACACCTCAAAATTGGAAAATTGTCCTATACTTGTATCAAACCGTAACTTTTTCTTAACTGGATTAATTGGAACTTCATACATTCTTTATGAAATAGAGACTACCTTCCAAGATTGGGCAAAAGTTTTATCTCCAAACAAGTTATATGTCGACACTGAACTCGGCAAAATCACATGGAACACTACAAAGTAAAGTAACAAAGACAGAAATCAAGAACTCAGCTATATTGAAGAAAGCATAAATTCATCTTTAGGAAATGAAGAGACCAAACATCTCAGCAAATAAAAATGTCTACTTTTTTCACCCAGTCGACCAAAATATAGCTGAGCACGATCAATCAAGAAACAAAGAACGAGAACAGTATTAATTACCGATTTCTCATAACGATCCCTCTCAGCAGCAGTGCAGATCTCCCCAGTACACATGAGCCGATGTTCATTCTTCCAGTATATATCTAAAACACCAATTTCGAACCAGAGTAAACTAAGAATTCAAAATTCTGAGAATCAAAGCCCCAAATCATATAAGAAATCCACAAAAAAAAA